TGGTTGTATGGGGATGATTTCCAGTAGTGCTGAAGACTGGTTTTCTCAAAATGGTTAATTATTCCTTTAATCGGACAAATATATCGCCCTCAATAATGAACTACTCTAGAACTATGAAACCTAGCAGCTCTTATTAAACCTGATGCTACCAGTTAAACAGGCAGACATGACAACACAAAACAATGATAAGAACAAGAAGAATTGAATAATGATTAAGAATAATAAATAAGACATTTAGAAAAACATATTGACAGCTGTGTTTTAGGAGAAAAAAAAAAACAAGGCAAGAATCCAAATGGATCATAGAGTTCGGATGTTCTGTCGGAGAAGTTAGATGACAGAGACATGACTCTGACGGTATTACAGGAGTGAAGGCTGCCCTGCCCTCACTCACCGCATTACATAAGCAGTCTGAGGCAAAGTTAGCTGGCACCCCCCGAAGATCACAAGGTGCTGCTATAAACTCGCCTGTCAGGGGGGTGAGGCTGAGGGCAAAATGTGCTGCTCCTCCCGAGTGAATGGATGGTATGGAAGGTAGTGTGCTGGTCATGTTAGTCTATTTATAACCCGATATCAGCCACATTCAGCGCATGACTGAACGCCAAATGCCGCACACACTCACGCACACACACGTACATACACACACACACACAGTGAATGCTGGTGAAAGATAAACATGACTAAACATTTTAGAGGGAGCTCTCTTTACAGCCCCTCCTGGTTAGACAGTCTGACACCTGATCAAACGCTGATGGTCTGGTGGATTTTCCAGCTGGAGCAAAAATATTTGAAGCTGACTGATCAGTAACAGTGTATGGATGGGAACGCCACCACCAGCACTCTGGTCCTGACTGTAATCAGATGAATTAGCATGAAACTTTGTTGAGATATTCATGGTACCCTGAGGCTGAATTGTAATTGTAGCGCCACCACCAGAGGCTTCTACTATGAAGCTTCACTAAACCTAAGAATAGTCGGGACAAGTGGCCCCACGAAGCTGATTATCACCTCAGTAAGTCAACAAGGGTTTTTAGACATGTGCACGTTCACATAAGAGAGGCAGACTTAGCAACAGATGACCAATCAATAACAATGGAAAGGTTTAGGGCCAAACATTTCTAATCAGGAGAGGAAACTATAACCCTAAACCGGTAGGAGAAGTTCTAAAATATAATACATGCTAAAAGCAACACAACTGTCTGTTAATGCTGCTGCAACCAAAACCATGAACACAATTAGTTAATTAGAGTTAATAGACTCATCAATATCTCTCATATAAGGCACGATCTGAGTAATGTTTTAACCATATTTAAATTGTTTAGATGAAGGTTTCTTTTTCAACCTTTAGCCATCCTTTATCATTATACATTACAAAACTGTAAAACAAAATTACAGATGAAGTTACGTAATGCTACTTACAAACTACAAATAGACTAGATAGTGAAAATAGAACCGTTATCATGGTGATGTGGTGGGAAATTGCAGTAATCCCACATTCAATGTTCCCATTCTCATAGTGCGTTAGACAATTTTAATTTTATTATTTCAGCTGCTTGGCAGTTGTGGCAGTCAGTAAAGAACAAGTACAAAGAAATAATTCAAACCTGTAAGTAGACTTATTGCTAATCTTATAAAGTCAACAACTGCAAGGATCCTTTATGTCTCTGTTTTAGAGTTTTATACTGAAATTGCAGTTCTAAAATCTGTTGCCCTCCTCAAAGGCCCTCACAGCACTATCTTTGCTCCGCATTATTGCAAACTGGACAACTAACTGGTCAGTAGGCGATGCTTTAATACGTGTTGATCTGTTGTCTCAAACATAATCTGCTACAGAGAAGGTCAGGAGTTCACCATTGAGATGTAGCTCAGTAAGAAGTGAACCGTCGTTGTCCTGAAAATCCCAAGATGAACCTGAAGTCACCTCGCTAACATCAAATCTTGCCTCATAGCGAAGACCTCAGGTCAAAGTTTTTTATTTGTTTTGTGGTGTAAAATCAAACGCTGGCAATACTACCCACATTCCCATCAGCCTAAGATGTACAGATGTAAGTGCATTCCGTGAATGCTGCTGACTGTTTCAACATATTCAACAAACAAACACTTAATCCTCGAACTAATGACACGACATCTATTCAAACAAATGTCACACAAATATGCTGACGCTCCAGCAAATTCAGCCCAAGAATAAAGTGTTTAATGCGAAAAGCAATCTCCAAGAACTCTAGAATGTCATCACAGGATCAGTAGGTAATGCTCACAAATTGCAATGTGTCTACAATCAGAAAGAGATTTGACTTGCATAGGAGGCCTGCCAGGAAAAAGCATTTGCCGTCCAAAAATAACATTTGAGCAAAACTACAGTTTGCCAGTTAACATATAGACAAAGATCAGCTCTTCTTTGGAATAAAGTCTCTGAACAGACGAATCACGCATAGAGTTGTTTGGCCACAGTAACAGAAGACATGTTTGGCGTAGAGCAAAGACAGATTTTGAGGGGAATAACCTCATATCAACTGTGAAGCATTGTGGTGGAAATGTTATGGTTCTGTGTTGTTTTGCTGCCTCAGGGGCTGGACAGCAGCCAATCACTGATTCAGCTATGAATTGTACATCATATCATAAAGTACCTGAGGACAATGTGAGCCCATCTGTCCAAATGATGAACTAAAAGTGAACCTTTCAACAGGATAGTGATCCTGAACACATTACAGCAAATCCACCAAATGCTCGAAAAGAAGAAATGGAGCGTTATGGGACACAGTTAAAGCCTAACTTTGAATCAAAGTGGATTTGAAAAGGGCAGTTTATGCAATACAACCCTCAAACATGTTGCAATTGAAGGAAATTTGCATTAGAGAGTGGTCAAAAATGTCAGCAAGCTGATGTCTGGTTGACAATTATGCAAAAGCTGTTTCTGCAAAAGGGGACAACACTTGCTTCTGAGAGGAATATTAGCTCGATTGATAGGCTTAAGCTTGTTGAATAAATGGCTGTCCAAGTATATCACCTTTATCGCACCTTATCAAACAGGATCAAGTGTTTGCTAATATGTCAAAACATCAGTAGTTTCCAGCCCGTGTTCTTTATACCTGCAATACACCTGCAAAACATCAGTATGCTAACATCGCCACGGTAGAAATATTAGCATGCTAACATTACAACAATGATTTAAACAGCTATGCGTTTTTCAAATGGGTCATTTTTAGTTTCTTTTAGATTTCTGGGATATTTGGGCATCCCTCAGCTTGTTGTTTTGGTTTCCTGACCTTTAAATTTACTGTTTTGGTTTACTCAGTGTTCAGATGCAGTGGGTAGCTGTTTTAAGTAAAAGAAGATCTGATAAACCTGTTTAACATGAAGCTCAGTGGCTGGTGAGCATAGTGGAGTATTTAGCAGCCAAATATTTGTCTCAAGAGTTAGTGGTGACCTAAACAGAGCCTTAAATACACTCATCAGGTGATCAGCTGGATACTGTTTGCTCATACTAAAATGTCAATAAGGTCATAATATGTCAATGTTGTGTTTAAACCTTGTTGTGCTGCCCCCAAGAATCAAATCAAACAAACAAAAAAGAAAGAAAACTAAGGCTTAATATCATAATTCAATATTTGCTTCTGAAAGTTGTAAGTAGCTCTTCAGCTATGGCTGCTCCGTTTAATTTACTGTAAATACTGTCTGAGCTCTAATGTCCCTATCATCATGATTACCATTATTGATTTGTATTCCTATGACCATGAGTGAAGTGGTTGTTTATTATATTATGATAAAAATCGCAACTTTAAGAATGAAGAAGTTTAAAAACAAAGAAAATGTAAACCAAGGAAAAAATAGAACTTCTGGGGCTTAATACACCTGGCAGAGTTTATATTCTACAAATGAAACTTTAGACAAGCATTTAATGGGTAGATTTCTGTATTTGTGACTAAATTAGTTTATAACTAAGAATCACAAAGTGATCAAATAAAAATAAACAGAACTAATACATAATTCAGGATTACCCAAACCTTCTTTTTTTTTTTTTTAACCTGGCTCTGTGAAGAAGGTTCAAAATAGCATTTAGACCTCAATGAAGGGAAATAAAATTTACAAAAAATACAACACTTCACTTTGAAACAGCCTTTTGAATCTGTATTTACTCAAAGGGGATTCATGACTTGATTATATTTCCATGTTTATCTCACTTTTTTGTTGTAGTCTTTTATTGTTTCACAGCAGGTTGGGTCTTTTACTTTGAAGGCAGCCTTGTGACACACATTTTTCCAGGTGTAGCTGTGGCTGACGCAGGTGAACTGGTGTGTTCAGGTGCAGTTACGTCATGGCAGTAAAAAATGCGGATCTAGCAGCAAGGTCATTATCGTGTCTGTGTCTGCACTTCCCTCCAGGAATAATCGATCACTTTAAGTGTAAGTAAACCTCTATTTTTAATAATGATTCACAAGGGAACGCTGTCGCCACATGATTTACTGTTAAACCTATAAGGAGCAGAAAACAAAATGGATCTTAGTCTGACTTTGAGAAACTGAAACACAAGCTCTGCATTTACAGCAATCAAAACAAGTTATACAACTGAAATAGGTGTCATGAAGCTTAACTGTTTGAACTGTTTCTATTCCAACTACACTGTTTAAAATATGTTCATAAACAACAACAAAAAGGTTAGAACAACCAGTAATGTAGAAGAAAAGACAAAAACTACAGGGATGGAATTAGATAGTTGGAATGAGGTCTGTGTTGGACAGGAACTGAAAAAGACCAAATATATTCTTTAGGACAGAAACGACCCAACAAGAAGTGGTTTGAACTGAATAATTTGATAATTGGTTTGAGTCATCTTTAAAAGAAAAAACATTCTCTGTTCCCAGCTTCTTGCATTTGAACATTTTCTGGTTTCTTTACTCCTTTGTTACAGTAAAGTGAATATATTTATGTTGTGGATAAAACAAGACATCTATGGATGATATCAACTAATCAGTTAATCAAGAAAATAATCAACAGATTAATCACCAATGTAGATAACAGTTAAGTGTGGTCCTAATTGTAAGCTTGTTCACTTGACAAAAGTTACCTGGCTCACAGAAAGTGTTGCTGTTTGTGTCCATAGTAAGATTCCTTTTAAATGTTTTTCCACAATGTCATCATAAACCATTGAAACATAATGCTGGTGTGTGGATGAACTCTTATGACAGTCAGCAGTGGTCAAATATCAACCAAAAACAGACCCTGCAAGACAATTCATTGTCTGTCACATCATCCATTGGTCTTTTTTGTTAAATGTCTTGATCTCTTACGTTTTACTTCCATGACAGTGACACACAGGTTTCTCTTTTACAGACGAAACAATCAGCTGAGACGAAGGCTGTGCTTATTCTCTGTTAAAGTTCATTTTTGAGTTGATGCTAAAAACTCCTCTCATGTAATAGTCTCACTGACAGCTGGTGTGGTTCCTTTTTATGCTAAAGTGGTTTTACTTCCCTGTTTTTTTAAGGGCTACTTCCTCATGCTTAGCAGTTCCCTGTACACGGTGTTGCATGTTGCTGAATTAGTGGAGCATAATTTTTTAGAAACCCACAAGGAAAGAATCAGGCCTGTCGTAACTGGTTTGTGCGATCTCATATGAAGAATGGGTTTCAGAGTCACAGACTTGTTGTCGACTATGTTCCGTAAATGGGCTTTACGTCGGGATTTACATACTGAGGCAGTGTCTGATTCCTTGACAATAACAGGAAGCCTGTTTTAGACAGAGGTTCGACAGGAGAAATCTCTGAATCTTGGTTTTGTAAGGGATGACGAGTCCTAGACTGTTGGAGCGGAAAGTGCAGACGAGCTTATGAGGGGTAAGTCAATCAATATTCATATGCAAGATGCAGCATAAGTATGAATTATAATAACTTTATTAACTTCCAGAGAGCTAGAAAAATACATCAAAACCAGCACATTAGGGTTGCATAAATGGATTTAATGTCTTGGTTATAACATGACTAAAGTCAGGGCATGCAGGTGGTCTAGTGGTTTAGAAAGTACGACGTGACCACAGTTGACCTTTGCTGTTATCTTGCTTTCCACATTTCCGTCTGCAGCTCGATTATATAAAAACACAAGACAACTAACCTTAAACCAACAAACAAACACCACCGATTGCTTACATTTCCACGTAATGTTGCTTCTTTCAGCTACAGTCATCCTCAAATTTATTCATTATCCCGTTAAAGAAGGGGGGGAAACAAAAAACAAGCAAACAAGCATGATGGAACCCATAAACTAATATTTTGTTGGACAACCCTTTGAGCTAATCACTGCAGTCAAGTGTTTTCTGTAACTCTCAATCAGACTTCTGCACCTGTTGACAGGTATTTTGATTTTGGCCCACTGCTCATCAGGAAAGTGCTCTAATTTGTCCGGGACAGTTTTTTTTTTTTTTTTTAATTATTCTTTTCAACAGCAATTCAAAAGCAATGTCTTATTTCACTAAAGTATAATTTAGAAAATTTTTATTTATTATTATTTCTTTCAGTTTCTAGTTGTTTGAGTGACTATTGTGAATTTAGAATTTTCTTTAATGGAAGGGTATGAATGAATTTAAGGACAACTGTACATACTATAAATGATAATGCATTTAGCATAGGTCAACTGTGGCTCCCAGACTGGGAACACATCGTCAGTCAGCATTTTGTAATATCAACAGGTACTCTTGATGTCATCTTTAAATGTTACCTCCTGAACACATTTTGCAGTGATGTGGGCGCCATGTCATGATACTCCCACCTCCATGCTTCATTGTCAGGGCTATGCATCCACTGTGGTAGTCCTAACCATCTTTGTAAACTCTCACAATCAAATTTTTAAGGTCCTCTGCTAACTCTTTTCCCTGTGGACGAGGATGCAGACACATAGATAGACACTACACATAGAAATGTTGGTGTTCACAGGTCTTTGTATGACCATGTTCATGCAATTAGGCTAATTGGAAATCACAAGTGTACTTAGTTTTTCTTTTTTCAATCATCACAAGTTTTTTTAAAAACTTGTGTCAGTAATTACAGGTCCCTTTTGTTACTGACAGAGTTTCTAGTTTGTATATTCAATAAAGTCTTTCAAAAGTATTTGTTTTTGACTGTTTCTAAGAAGAAACACTCTACTTGTCATCCTAATTATGTGAATTATTTAACATTTAAATGTATTGCACACAGGTACACTCACTTCTGTTGTATATGTAGTTGCAAAACTATTTCAATTCATTCCATTCCATTTCAATTCAATTCAGTTCACTTTACTTATCCCCTAGGGGCAATGACACAATGACATCTCTATTAGTTTCAGCTTTTATTTGTGTTGAGTATTAATTAGCAGCCATGCTACTTGCTTAATTATGATCATCGGCCTGCTCCATGGTACTTCCTATATATTGCCCTGTTGCGATTTTGACCATGGTAGCACACGGACGTTAGCATTTAGCCGTGTGCACCTTAGTGTAATCTCCTCTGTGATATTTGCTCTCAGATCATTGAGCTGGTGAGATGGAGGAAGCATACAACGAACTATACCAGCAGTTTCTTCGCCTGAGGTCGCTTTGCCTGAGACAAGCCGCTCTGTTGCATCAACTCACAGCAGCCCTGCAGAAACAGCAAGGTCTGCTAATAAACTACGTCTGATTCTCTCAAAGAGCGTGTTAGTCATTATGCTTAAACAAGTATCTGTCTGCAGGTGCCTCTGTTCCTAATGGAGAGCTGAGTGATATGATGTCGATTCCTGTCCAATGTACCCATGAAATCCCAGTATATCCCCATGAAAAGCCACAACCACGAACAGCTGCAACACAAAACCCTGCAGCACAGTGTGGCATTGGTCACCTTTCCAGAAATGTGGGGACTTTCTCTGATCTCCTTGCTGAAGATATGTCCAAGCTCTGTGTGGATATGACCTCTTTGAAGGCGGATCAAACGGCCACGTTCTTATTAACCCTGGACTCCTCGAGATGCCGTGAAGCCTCTTCCAGTGAATCGAAAAATCAAGGAAAAAACCATCCTGGTGGAGACAGGGCTCCGTGCACAGTAAGGGTCTTTAAAAATCCTAGCTGTATTCTAGTGTGTGCCTGGTTTTTATTACGTCCTGCATTAACTTCTCCTTCTTCTCCTGTGTGCTTGTGTGAGGCGCCTGTGGCAGACAATCCCTCCCAGGCCGGTGGCCTCATGAGCCTGTGTGGCGGGGCACTGATGTCGGACGTGGCGCTGCAGTCTCATGTTTGTGAATTCTGCCAAGCGGTTTTCCCCGGAGACACGACCACAAGAGGAGAGTTCCTGAGACATCTCTACACCCACGTCACTTAGACTGAACTGAGTCTTCCTCTCCCCTCTACACATGACTTGTGTACTCATGTGACATGCTGTGCTATAACTCAGGAAACAAAATGGACCCATTCTTCACATGGTTAGCTGTCAGACTGTGAACAAACATAATATTTTGTCTCTTAAGTGTAAAATGAAGGGTAGAAATCAATCTGCCAGCTATTGTCTTTTGTAGGCCTCTGCATCAGTGTCTAGCCATTGTTTTTTGTTCATGTTTTGAGGCCTCCACCATAGCTGATGGATATTAATACATTTTGTTTGTCATAATTATACTACACGCCAAATTGGTTGCTGATTCATTGATTTTCATAGGGACTATTTTAAATCATGTTAATCTGTCTTATTCATGGCTAAATTTCACCAAATCAATCCTATTAAATCCTACCTGCAAGCAAGGCCAGATACCACGACAGTATTTTTTTGTCAAGCTGATTGTTTGAGCTGCTTTATTCATTGCTGGTGACTCACAAAAAATAAAATAAAATAAAATAAAATTAAGAAAGCCGGAATTACTGTTCATGTATTACAACTTGAACCGATTCTGATCCTGTTCAGATGTTTTAAAGTTTCTCTCTTTGTGATAGTTAAATCTTTAAAAACAAATTTTTGTGTATCCAAGTTGCATGTTTTAATTTTTGTCCAATTTAAATAATTTCTTCTTGCTTTCAAATGGCTTAGATGTAGTGATGCTTCCTTCACAATATGCAGCTCTGTGAAGTGCCTGACCTTCTAACTCTCACTGCAGCCCGAGCACACCAGCTCACCTACAACTCTGCTCAAACACTGTAAAACTACTCTACACTACACAACGACAAGTTGTGATATTGGAAGTAATCATTCATACATCTTTAAAACAGGATCCGTGACATGTTTCCCAGTATATATGAAACGCCATGTGGGAAGGTCAACAAGATTTTAAAAATACAGATTTTCACTGCAAGAAGTCTTAATTCATCCAGAAAACACAAACTTGTGAAAACATTTTCGCCTAAAAAATGCGGCTGTGGCATAACTAAATAAATGTTATAATGTGTGACTTATGTAATTAGCTTACTGTTCTACTTCTCAACCCTAAAATGTTATTGTTGTTACAGGACGGCAAAGAAGAAAATTCTCTGTTTATCTCGTGCAGCAAAGTTATAACCGGTCAATGATGCTCAGTTTGGAAAGTGAGACACAATGTTGTGTTTATGAGCTTAAATGACTATTAGGTAATCATAAATAAAATTGTTGAAGCCAACTTTCCATGTTGTGTCATTCTGTTTCTAGTCTGCAGCAAAGCCATTGTTTGTCACCAGTTGAAATTGGCTCAGTCATCACAGGTGATAATGACATTTTTATAATCAGTTATAGTAATTAAGTAATTTGTCTCAGTTGTACAAGCAGATTTCAAATTTGTCATTCTTAGTATTCCTGTTTATATAACATAATAATTATCATTACAATTATATTATATGTATTATATGTTATTTATATTATAATAATTCTAAAATTAATACTCATTAAGACTCCTATAATTACGGCATGACTGAAACAATCATCATTAAAAAAAAATCATAAAATCTAATTTGGAATCCACACACAGATTTACTTTCAGCTTTATGAAAGTAATAATAAATATTGCACATAATAACAGCATCTCATTGTAGTGCAGACATTTAAATGCTCACCTGGATGATCTTATAAATAATGAAAAGATTATTTCTCATTGTTATTCTGCTGTTTTCCGAACATTTACTTTCAAGCATTACACCGATCAGCTGTCTGCTGCTCAGCTCTGTGTTACTGAGGAAAGAGTCAGAGATAAGAATAGACTGGAAGACTTAATGCTCTAATTAGTGGTGCTGACAGCAGATTGATGATGGCGGCTTCCTTTATCTGCTGCCACACTGACTGACGCTCTCATAATCACAGTAAAGAACGCCAGCTTGGATATAATTGTCCTTGTGTAATCAAAAACGAAAGGCTTTTTTAAAAAAAAAAAGCATAAACATCACCATAAACATCTGACCAGGTTTCTTTGGAAGCCGTCCAGTGGTGGAGGATGTGTAATTTAATAACAAGACTTAAGCGTGGGCTTTGAGTGAAATGCGGGTGTCAGTATGCTAACATGCTCACAGTGATAATGCAAGCAGTATTCGCCATCTTAGTTTAGTGTTTTTGCATGCTAACATTTGCTATTCGGCAGTAAACACAAATTACGGCTGAGACTAGTGGAAATAAACCAGTTGTATTGAATATACAGATGATTTTGCCTCCGTGCCAACGACAGCTGGTTGCCCATCCATCCCTACATTCATCTCATTCCTTTGAACGCAGTATTTTTTTTGATAATGCTTCTTCAAATTTCACACAAATGAATGATGGCAGGTTTATACCCATAGTCAACTTCTGGTGAGTCAGACTAACAGGAAACCTGTACAGAGTTTGGCGGGCAAAGGTCAAAGGTCAAGATTCTTGTGACTTCACATTCATCCAATAACACAGCTTACACAACATTTTTTTGGCCACATTCTTATGCCAATTATGACAAAATCTTATACAAACATATCATAGGGCAAATGATGTTGGGATTGCATTTCAAATCTAAAAGGTCAAAGGTCAAGTCTGGAGCAACTTGGTATGAACACCAACCCGACTGGTTGGCAGAGGCACAAAAGCACGAGGTGGTAATTCTAGTCTGATCTGATGGCACTCGATGAGGAGTCAGGACTGACATACGTTTTTTTTTTTCTGACAGGAATCAGTAAGACAGACCATATTTCTCCTGTATTAGCTTCTCTTCATTGGCTCACTGCAAAATCACGGATAGAATTGAAAATCCTACTTTTAACATATATAACTCTCAATGACCAAGCTCCATTTTACCCTAAAAACCTTATTGTACTGTATCATCCTAACAGAGCCCTTTGCTCTCAGACTGCAGGTCTACTGGTGGTTCCTAGAGTTTCCAGAAGTAGAATGGGAGGCAGAGCCTTCAGTTATCAGGCTCCTGTCTTATGGAATCAGCTCCCATATTGGGTTTGGGAGGCAGACACCCTCTCTACTTTTAGGATTATGTTTAAAACATTCCTCTTTGATAAAGCCTACAGTTAGGGCTGCTCAGGATCACCTGAACTGTCCCTAAGTTATGCTGCTATAGGTTTAGACTGCCGGGGGATTCTAATGATTCTCCTTTTTCTTTCTTCCATACAGTTATAACCACCATTACATGTCACTAACTCTGAGTTATCCCCGAGGTCCTGTCCTGTCCTGTGCTCCCTGCGGATGTCTCTGGATCCAGAGTTTCACGTCCCTGACCTCCAGCCGCGGCCTCACTGACCCCCAAAATACTTGCAATCATATTTATTGTTCCATTCTATTGCTGCTCTCCATCTGCGATCATGTTTCCCCTCCCAATCCCCACTCTCATCCATCCCATCGAGGCAGATGGTTGTCTTTCCTGAGCCTGGTTCTGCCAGACGTTTTTTTTATTTTTTATTTTTTTGGGGAGGGGGAGTTTGGTTCCTTCCTACCGTTGCCAACCGCTTGCTCAAAGGAAGTCCAAAGGCAACTTTGGATTGTTGGTTTCTCTGTTCTTTACTATGTTAAGCGCTGTGTGATAGCTTGTTGTAAACTGCGCTATACAAATTGAATTGAATTGAATATGTTTTTACAAATCATCCTCGAGGAACATTATTGTACAAAATGTCTCTTGCGCTGTTTAATTTGATCTGTTTGAACAGACTGTTTGAACACTGTATGCTAACCTTTGTGATGCTGTGTTACTTGTACTTTAATGAAAAGAACTAAAAGCCATTCACGTCTTTAAAGTCCTAAAGCCAGGCTCCTTGGGGCTGTACAAGGTCTGCTTTTTTTGTGTCTTCATGTTTTCTGGTCTCTGAAAATCGCCTGTGTGGATGAGCACTGATGACATCACTGGTACAGGTGAGTCATGCCAGCATTCGGCGCTCGATGCAAAGCGTCAGTGCAACAAACAAGACGACAGCAGAGGTGTTGCTGGCTGTGTGACGCAGCTTCTGCAGCCTCTTCCACACATCGGAGCTGCCAAGAAAAGTTAAAGAAACAAAACGGATTCTTTGTGGAAAACAATGCAACATGCCGTAGCTTTAATCAGTAAAATAACATTTATTGAGATGTAACAAAATAAATAATCTTTTTTCGCAACATAATAAACTGAGGAGGTTACTAATGCTCAAGAGACAGACAGGTGTAACTGATGCACAGCAAGCTACCTCACTGACATACTCTGTGGTTAGAATACAAAAATCATAACATTTTTATCAACATCTCAATACACTTCTTTCTAAGGGCCAAACAGGTTGACCAGACATACGGGAGCTGCTGTGTCGAAAGTCAAGCACCGTGAGATTTCTTTCTGTAAACTTCTGCGTGTGCTTTTGTTCATTTTGACTAAATTAAGGAGCGATTAGTCACCATAAGTTACTATATGTCTCAAAATTCCAAATAGTTGTTTTTAAAAAGTGGGACACAAGGTTCAACTTGTTAATCCAAGACTACAGAAATATCTTCCCAAAGACACACCCATATTGTAAGTTTGTCAGTACACCTAAAAAAAAAAAAAAAAAATCCCACAAAGAATCTACAGTCATTACCACATTTCTGAAAACGGTCTGGTAAATTCTTTTAAAAACACTTCTCACAACTCTAAATCTCGCAGTGTAGTTTTGAATGCAGGTTTCTCAAAGGCTGTACAGTGGTGCACGACTTTAAACACCAGAGAAGAGCAGCTGAAGCCAGCGAGCGTCTTCACTGCTGGCCTTTGAGCAAGACACTGTAGCTGCCCCTGAACCTTGACTTCACCGTCTATTCAGCGCCACTCAGTTTAGAAAAAAGGCGTTCTGAGTACATTTTCACATAATCAAAGATAATGAAGTGCCTCTTACAGAAGCCTGAAATATTATCTCTTATAAACACCACATCAGCCGTTTGTGCAACAGAAAGAGCGAGTGGATGATGAAGACCGGCGGCTTTACATTGCAGATATCTCAGCCTGTTTCAGATCCAACAGGAGATAAGATGATGCAGCAAAGGACAAAAAAAAAGGCCTCTGACCCTGATGTTGGTGTTTGTGCGCATGCTCGCTGGAATCTAGATCAACACATGCCAAAAATGCTCTTTTTTTTTTCTTTTTTCAAAAAACTACGACACAAACATCACTCATGTCTGACTTTTTCCGTCTGTACCGCACTAACCTCTGTTCATAACCAGAACATCCATGTGTTTCCTGAGGATGAGGAACGTCACAGGACGTAATCATACCGTCATTACACTGTAACTTGCCAAAAATGTTGATTAAAGTCTCTCTTCTACATAAACGTTTCCTCTACAGTGTGTTGCTCAGTGTGGAGGAACTTGAGCAAGTCAGTTTCCAAAGTTGCAGTGCCCCCTGCTGTGTCGAGACTATTTATTCTGAAGCAGGTGGCACTTCCACCACATGGCAACGCGCACAACAAAAGAAATCAGTCATTTTTTTCCCCTGTTGGCTAAAATCTGTCCACGTGTTTAAACAATAAAACAAAACAGTGTTTCCCTTATGTATTTACTGAATATAAAATAAAAAGAGAACATTTTGAGCTTCGTTCACAACTTGAAGGTTTCGAAGCCACTGCAGATTCACGGTATCAGTCGCTGGTAAAGTCTCACATTTAATGTATTGATTTTGTAGTCTTTTGTCCAGAAAGAGTCTTTTCTCCATCAGACGTCAAAGTCTCTGAGTGGAGTTCACTGGCAGGACCGAGCACAAGTTCCTTGATTGCCCAGTGAGGGTTTCATTTCCCCCGATGGTTGGAGTCATCTTTGGTGACACAAGGGCTACTGCTCCTGATCGCTGTTATCGAGCTCTGCCTCTCCACTTTACTGTCATGGTCTGTGGAGAGATGCAAATTTGAAGATAAGACCTGATACATGAAGAAATTTAGGAGTCACTGAATGAACAAATAGTAGCAAGAGAACCAATGGAAAGTGTATAAAGAGCAGTGAGCACTTAAAAGCAATTCCAGACTGAAGCAGCTGGTTATTGGGGCATGAATGGATCAACTTAGCAGCACTATAAAATCCACAGTTTCGTTTAACGCTGCTGTTTAATGGCAAATTAACTGAAAACAGCATTACAGTGATGACGCAGGCAGCTATTATACTGAGGTGTCAAATGAATATCAGTGAAGAAGCGCAGTAATCAAGATGCAACTAGTGTTTTAGAATCTTTGAATAATAGTTTGGGGAATTCAGCAAGAAACTCTCCCACATGGAGTGAAGTCATCATGGTTTATATGACCAACCCAAGCTGTTGAATAACAAACTGTCTCCAGTATTGCAGAGTTTAATGATTTTTTTTTTGGCTGCTGATAAGGCACTGATGAAGTCAGCAAATCAAGTGAGCAAGACAGAAAAGAAATCAAGCAAAAGTTGATGTTCACTGTGTATTTGCGACAGAACAATTACACTCATGTGCATCATTGGAGCTGTGAATAAACACAACTTGTAAAGGAACTTTGTGTACTTTTCCCACCTCTGCGTATAACATTTTACAGCAGTTTCTTAATGTTTAAGTGTTTCTTTGGCATTCACGAGACAATAAATTATCCATTTATTGGCTATTAATTTGTTTATTTGCTCCTTTAAAATCCCTGCGTTCATGTGTTTTAACAACATGCAGTAATTCTGAACAATTCTATTTTTTAATAACACAAATGTCAACAGCACAGCTTCAGTAAAATATCTGCAAGAGAACAAGTGGTTAGATTATCAGCTTCAGGATTTTCTGTCTGTGTTAACGTGACACATGTGAACCGACATCCTGACTAGATAAAAACGTCAACGGAAGATAAGTTATGGCAGAAAAACAGTGACGTTGAGAGGAAGTGAGAGAAAGTTCTGATTAATGAGTGAGACACAAGGAGGAAACTTGGATGAGATAGAGAGATACAGAGAGAGAGAGAGAGAAAAGGCATGACAAAGTGAGGGAGAGCGACGCCAGAGATGAAACATATGTCATTTTTTTTTTGTTATTTCCGCAGTCCTTTTGGTAGAGGGAGAAGATGTATAAAAAAGACTGTGCCATTTCCCTGCCCACAGGTTTTATTTTTGTACACTGTCGCTTGGTGAGTCAATGCAACGCCCCTCCAATTACCTCCCACTCCTTCGCCCCCACGCCCCATCCATCCCGCCCTTCAGCCCACGCACCTAACACACTCTGACGTCAGTCGCTGCTGAGAGGGGGGGTCCGACTCTGCCGCCCACAGAGTACTTCCTACCCCCCCTCCCCTNGATGCATCAGGAAAAAAAAAAACAACAAAAAAAAACACGCTACAGTAACAGGGTATTAAAGAAGTGCTATAACAGTGTAACACCCCATCTCCTCCCTCCCTCCCCGCCCCCTCATGTCTTTGCTGGCTTCCTTCTCCTCGCTTCATCTCTTTCGACTGGCTATCACAGCCCAGAACGACTAACTTGCCCATATCACTTGCTTTTTTTCTTCTTTTTTTTTTTTTTCCTGCTAGAAGCTGTGATGCATCAGGAAAAAAAAAAAACAACAAAAAAAAAACACGCTACAGTAACAGGGTATTAAAGAAGTGCTATAACAGTGTAACACCCCATCTCCTCCTCTCTCCCCTCCTCCTCTCACTCTTTTTTCCTCTCTATATATCACTCTCCACCTCCTTCTGTTTCCCCCTTCTAACTTCTATGCTCTCTAATTTACAGTCTGGTGAAGTTCAGCTGTGCATGGTGGGAGGCGTCACCTCGAAGAGATTGTGACTCACTACGGTTCAAACTGTAGAGCTATAAAATATTCATTGTTAAGAGAGGTTAGGGAGTCTCTGTCTGTCATTTTCCATTCAACCCCAACATCATCTCCCTCTCTGTGATCCCTCCATCTACTTCCAAGTCCAAACAGCAGTTTGACTTTTTGGGAAATTTGATTATTTTTCTTTTCTTTTGGCAGCAAATTCAATAGAAAGACGATAACCCTCTCATATCTCATGTCTAAATATGAAGCTTTTGCCAGCAGACAGTTGGCTTAGCTTAGTATAAAGACTGGATACAGGTGGAAACAGCTAGCCTGGTTTAATGGAAATCCATCTAACAGCACCTCTAAAGTTCACTAATTGTTCAATCTCATTTGTTTAATTTAAAGGCGGAAGCCAAGAAATGTTAATGCAGAAAACTCAAATAAAGGCAAAGTGTAGTTTTTCTGGGGACTAAACAAATGACATGTTAATTAATTGAATGTAGCGGCGCTAGTAGATACATTTTGCTACCATTCCCCTTGTTTCCAGTAGCTTAACTAACTGTCTGCTGCTGGTAAATCCACATTTCCCGCACAGATATGAGTACTGAGATATGATATGAGAGTATAACCGATCTAACTCTCTTCATGAAAGTGAGTATTTCCCATATTATTCCTTTAACCCGCACACAGATTGGCAAACATCATAAAATAAACTTTTATTTTGTCCATTATAAAGCACATAATACTGGTAAATCATTATTTGAGAAGTCACCTGTGGAGTGAGTTCCATCTGACCCTAGGCTGATCTTTCCCGCCCGATCGTGTGACACCATCCGAGCCAATCGCAGCCCTTCGTCCATTAGCGTTTGCTGTATGAGATGGCGACTCCAGCTGGCGGGGTTGGAGGTGTCAGTGTGTGGACGGGGGGACGGAGACTGGTTGCACTGTGAGCCCATGTCTAACACGACAGACAGATCTGGGTTTAAATGACGTCTTCAGACACTTTGTTCTCACAGAAACAGGCAGGGAGAATGTCTAATGAAGATCTAATATGGAAACTTTCAGAGCTCAGCGTGAAAAACTCTTTGTTTTATTACTTTTTTATGACATTGATCTGAATTTTTAATTTTTTTTTTTTTTTACCATGTGATACACCGTCCAGGCTTTCTGCAGATAAGCTGTCATCGTCTGCCCTCTGAGTCAAGCCCTCGGATCCCTCTACCCCAAGAAGCGACGACACGCTCTCAGGTACGATTATCTAAAGCAATGCATACAAGCACACGGTCAGTTCAGGGCTGATGAACCGCTTCAAATAACTGACTGATGACCTGAACTTTGGCCAGATGGGATTTATTAATTGGTGGCAGCAGCACTCACCTCATGTCTCGCTCTCTTTGGGGACAGTATGCTGTTCTCATCTGCATTTGTCCTGCAGGAGAAAAACAATGGAGGCAACTGAGTGGGAAAGGTTATACTTGACCTTTGAGGAAAAAAATAATTAAAAACCATGGTGCAGGGTCTAACTCCATGCAAAGAAGAAGACCTGAAGGTGTGAATTAATTCATCAAATCAAGACAATGTTGTGAAACAGAGAAGAAGTCCCACTGAACACAACTTTTATTCAACTTGATCTGGGACATATTTCAAGTTAGTAAGCTAATTTATCACTAAACCTTACATTTATAAGAATTATTTAAATGTAAATATAACATATGAGGGTGTCTGTTGTGAATACCTAATTGTGATAATGAGCAAAAGGTGAACTTTTGTCTCAGTATTCATGTATTTGGTGGGATTTTTAACCATCTACATAATCACAATAGAATTTTCTTAAAATAGTGTCTAGAATTCAGATACTACTGAACATGGACATTTGAAATATTAATGAAACCTAATATATTCTGATACTGAACTTCTGATATTATAATTACTAAAATACTGGATTGCTGCTGACTCACTCTGAGGCATATGTTCAAAAACATTCTAATGTTTGCCATCATGAGAATACAGGAAAATGTTCAGTGCAGATTAATGAATACATTCGGTATTTATGTTTTCTTGTGTGGCTCCAAAGTTATTTCATTAAACTAACACTGCAGAGGTTGGAGTTTAATTCCCTCTGTGATCTGAACCAGGTTCATTCTGAAAATGAATCCACTGGTGGGCAGATGACTCACAGAAACCACCTGGTATATGTGGAATACGCTAAACACAAGCTATAAAATGACTTCATTCATATTTATTTCACATGTGGCTTCATGTGACACCTTGACTCTGTATCAGGCGTTTCTAATTGTCTAACAGCTTGGGTCTTGAGACTGAGGCAGGTGTGAGGTGCGTTGGTCATCGGTTGCCGGTGAACTGATCACTCACCTTGCATGCTTTAGTGTGGAGGTGTAGGCACATTTTCTCGCCACCTGCCGAGCCAAAGAGAAGAGCTCCACCCGTCTCAGCAGAAGGGCATTGTCGCGCATGCAGAACTGGGCTGCAGCTTCATTGATGATCAACTGAGGATGACAAACACTAAATGAAGGAGGGATGGAAACAGTGAAAATGACAAAGAAATTGCTCATCGTTCTTTGAAAATGATTTTTTTTAATACTAACTAATGATTACAGCCTGCCGTCTGGTTTATAATCTGAACTTTACCAATGGGTCATAGTGGGTATGAATCATCTCTGCTCTCGTCTTTGATGCTTTTACCTCATGGTGTGTGAGCTGCTTGCCTTCTCTCCTCTTGGAGTCAAAGCGTCCATAAATGAGACTGTATTTCCGGATCTCCTCTTCCTTGTTCACATCCTGGGACCCCATTCTGAAGATGTGCCCTACAGTCTTTGCCATCTTCTTGTTCAGCCTCAGCAGAGTTTTCACCTCTGCGGGGTCTGACCTAGGCAGGGTCCTGAGGAGCCTCTCCACGCTCTCCACCACCGCCCTCGCTGTCTCCCCATCCAGCTGCCCTCCTGGCCAGGCCGACAGGGTCGCCGGGGCAAAAGACGCAGACGGGCTCGGAGATGTGGAGGGACCAGGAGGACATGTTGACAGCAGTGGCGGGCTGGGCGGCTCCTCCTCTATTCCAGATGCAGAAGTCAAATTGCAGTTCCCATCAGGCTCTGGGCTGAGCCAGTGTGGGTCCATGGGTGACAGTTTTTCCCTGTAGTGTGTGTCTGGTGGTTGCGGAGAGGCCTGAGAGCAGGGGCTTCTTGGACTCCCACTGTGCATTGGAGTAAGACACGCCCGATCCTCTCTTTCACAGGGGGATCCCGGCTGCCCATTGCTCACAGACTTCCTGGGCCCACCCGCTGATCCACTTGGGCTCGTCCCATCAACTTTGAACAGCGGGATGCCCCCGAGAGGAACGTTAGCGACAGGCTGGCTGAAAAGGGCAGGGTTCGCCGCCCAGTCTCGGAGGGCCTTCTGCAGCCTACGCACATGCAGTGGCTTGGTGGCCATGCCAACTAGTGCCATGATCTCCAGAAACTCCTCCTCCGCTGCCTCACAGAGCTGTTGCACGTCGTCGCCACCCTGCTGGATAAAGGTTTCATAATAGGCCAGCAGGTTGGCCCTCTGCAGCACCCGGTACAGCTGCAACTCCCCAAGTGTGCGTGGCAGAGACATGGCACACAGCACTGGAAAGTTTAGGCAGGAGAAAGGAAACACATGAACCTGCAGGTGGAGAAATCCTGTACCAGTTATTTACTTAGATAAAGACTTTGCCATCTGGACCACACCTAGTTTACCTGTTTCCAAATGCTTGATCAAGAATGAATAAGAACCATACAGTCTATCAAACAAACTATGTGTATAGGAAGTTTATGCATGCTTTGGAGCAGAATAGGTTTCTCCATACACAAACAAATCTGTGTATTTCTCAGGCGAGCCTTTACATGAGTAAATGGATGAGTGTACATAGACCGTTCTTACCTTGTTCAGGTCAGGCAGACGGATGTGTAGAGAGGAAACCGGCGTAATTACGCAAAGGTGCTTCTCCAACCACCGATGTCACGGGTCGGTCCTCCCGGAGTGAAACTGACAGAGAAATAAAACTAATTCACTTGATCGCTCAGACTAAACCGCGTTAAATGTAGACTTAAATAAAGTACAATCACTTGGAGCACAAGACTGCAGTTCAAAAAAAAAAAAAAAAAACATCGACTGGAGGCAACTACTCCTGAGCCAGATGTTTGAGGAGAACACCCTGTTCAAAGACACATCGCAGTTATTATGCTGTTGGTTTCTTACCCTCTTACCTACTGCCGACAGCTTCCCCGGCGCAGATTGGCGTAGTAAATCCCCTTTGCGTATCGTACCTCGTCTGAAATCACTGGCAGAAATCCTCCTCCGGCGCACCGTATTGGTTGCTGGCTGCCTTTTTGCTGTCTGTGTGGGCTGGAGAATGACGGGGGCGGACTGCAGCACGCCATCTGACCGAAAAAGAGCCTTCCTCTCCCGGTAGAGAGGCGGCTTTCAAATTGGAGATGTGGGTGGTGGTGGTGGGGGCTTGAAATTAACCCTCTGCGTCTTCAAGATTAGTCCTTTATGCAGAAGCTTTGGGGGGTTCCCAGACTTTTGCCACGTCAAAGACCCCCCAAACAAGTAGTCACCACACCAACACTATGCAGACTGATATAGAGAACAATAAACTGATGTGACAGATGTGGATTTTTCTGTTTTTTCCCCCCCTTCTCATTTCATGTAGGAGGTGGGTGGTCGTAAATTATTCTGAGAGTAGGCTACAGGTGAAACTCCTGCACTTTTTAAATGCTGCTATAATATTTCTTTGCAGATTTAAAGGAACAAGTCACACAATTAAGATGACAAAATCACCAGCAATATCAGTTGCTGTTGCTGGTACATCAAGCTCAGTCTTCTGTCCACACACACCCAGGATCAGCATTTGAAATCCTTAGTTTCTCTCTGTTTCTTGTTGCCTGCTACATGCAGAGTGACTGCATGTGGGATATCTTTTTGTGCACCTATCATTCACTTGCAGTTTTTGGTATGCCAGGCTCCAGAAACAACAAAACACAATAAAAGATGAATATGGTGAGTTCCAAAAACAAACCAGAGGGACATGAGGAAGCATTAACAGCTTATTTATTTGTTGTGTGCTATCTCACTGCATGGCCACAAGCACATAGACATCACAATGTAAAGAAATATATAGAGTCTGACACAATGACCCTGACCATATCATCACGCTTATCTGGACTTCTGTACAGCAGTGTGGCTCAAATGAGTAAACTCTATATTGTATATCCAACAGAAGTGAGAACACCCATGCCTAAATGTCAACATTGTCTAAGTTTTGAAGTACAGAGTTTCCTCTTATGAGCAATCAAAAACTTTAGACAGACTATTTTAAAAATACAGGCCCCAAAATTGAAACTCTGAGCAACAAAAGTGAAAACACATGTGTGACACAGAAGTTGGGAAATCTGTGATCATTAAAAACAGAATTTACTGCACTTATATTTTGCAATTAGCCTAACTGAATAAACATGATTATAAAGTGATCTGTGAAGAGGAGGATTTTCTCACTTTTGGTTCACTGGGCTGTATATATCGGCATGTCTGCATCATGGAAAAGAATTGTCAAAAAATAAATAAAAATCAGATTGTGTGGCTTTACGGAGACAGTAAAGTACACAGGAAGATAAGCCAATTTGAAAAATTATTCAAAACACAGTTGCTGCAGTAATCAGGAGGTATGAAATGAGCTATAGTACCCCTAATCAGTCGCCATCCTCTTACTCACACAATTTAGCTCTAAAAAAACCAGATGGAAAGTGCTCCAGATTTAGCACAGCTTTTATCAATGGAAATCAGACTTTCAATGACAGCTCAGAAAGTGTGAAGGACATTATATAATGTCAACCTCTACAGTTATTGTCTAATAAAAATGCTTGCTTGTACTTTTGCATAAGACTGCAGTGGAAGCTTTGTAAAAGAACATCAACGGATGCCTGATGAATATTCATTCTTTGGTCAGAAAAGTCCAAGATACATTCTATAGATAAGATGGAGCTTGGCATGTTTGCCATGAACCTGATCAGGACTACCACAGTGAATGCACGGTCACATCAATGAAGAACGGAGGTTTTAAGTGTGATGATATGAGGCTGCATGAGTGCAAACGGTGCCGGGGAGATTATATTTATAGATGGCACCATGAATGCTTGTTGATAGACCAAAATACTGGTTGACAAATGATTCCCAGTCTGCACAAGCTTGACAGAAGAGCATGTTAATGATCCAAAGCACACAGAACAAGGTGAAAACTTTGACCTTGTCAAGTATGTTGCCTAACACATTTGGAGTATATTAAAGAGAAAGGTAAACATGTACAACCCCTCCAGCAAAGAGTAACTGAAAAAAAAGGTCTCATCTGTCCCAAACTTTGTGTAACACTGGTATCATCCAGGGCTGCAAGGTGTCTCGTTGGTTAGCACTGTCACCTCGCAGCTAGAAGGTCACTGGTTCGCGTCCTGGTGAGGACACCCGGGATCTGTCTGCGTGGAGTTTGCATGTTCTCCCCGTGCAGCGTGGGTTCTCTCCGGGTTCTCCGGCTTCCTCCCACACAGTCCAAAAACATGTTGAGGTAATTGGTGATTTTAAATTGTCCGTAGGTGTGAATGTGAGTGTGCTTGGTTGTCTGTCTCTAAGTGTAGCCCTGTGATAGACTGGTGACCTGTCCAGGGTGTCCCCTGCATTCTCCTTAAGTCAGCTGCGATAGGCTCCAGCCCCCCGCGACCCTAGTGAGGATTCAGCGGTGTATAGATAATGGATGGATGGATGGTATCCTCCATGCAGAAGAGGATTGAGTTTGTCAACAAAAATAAACTTGGACATACAAAGAATTAAAAAAAGAATAGACTCTGACTGAATGACTGACTTTTGTTGTATTAACTTCCTGTTATGAGGCCTGTATTTTTTAATCAAAACTGTTTATTTTTAGTTTTACTTAGAAGTGATGCAGTTACTGTAATATCTGACACTGAAGTGGTTTTGCACAGGGCTGTAGTCACCTCTATTGCATACTGTAGGGTCCACTGTTTTTTTGGGTTTGATTCACTGAGATTAATAAAAGAATGGCTGGACTAAAATCAAACAAAAATGTTTGATGTATTATTAAGAGCATAAACCGTGTTTCGAAGTTGGTTGTGCTTCAGCAGCCGCGTTTAAAACATTAGATGGCAGTAGTGTCCCTGTGTTGTGTGTTGACCGTCAGGAAGCAGCGAAGGAGCTGGAGGAGGAAGAAGAAACTGGAAGAAAGTAGGAACAGGAGCAGAAGAAGAAGAAGTGGCTTAAAAAAAAAAAACAAAAAAAAACACGGACACTTGGCTATCAGTTAACAAACAAGGTTACACAAATATCTGAGAGGTATATATGACATCTAGTTTGTTTGTATGCAATACGCAAAATAATCTGCCTACTTACTGAACTCGTCCGACGTCCAAAACACGTCTTAGCCCGCTCGTCAGACCCCACAGGAAGGGGAGACAGTCGTTAATATTAGCTAGTCCAGCTCGTTACTGTTATTAGCTAACAGTTAGCTCCTGGGTTGGCTGCTTGCTAGCCGAAGGCGTTCACAGTTACCTGTCGTGTCGTCGTTTAACCTCGTCTGAGACCTTATTTAGCCGAAATATTGTCAGGTTAGCCATCCAGTGGAAAGCTAATTTTAGCCCCTGTAGCGCCTGTCTGTCATTCTGCTTTGGCTGCTTCCTCCTGCTAACAGCCTGGCTGCTGCTAACATTAGCCGCCGAGACAACATCTGGTGCTTTTTAACACAGTTAACATAAGGTTTGACAGACTGACAGATCCCTGTGAGAACCGTTTTCCGCTTTTTTGTCTGCTGTAAAACGTCAAACGTTTGGTTATTTCAGCTCGGGTTGTACATGCACTGTGTTTCTCTTAAGCTAGCCGAGTTAGCAAACAACAAAGCAGTGTAATTGAATGCAGTCTGTGTCGCACATTTACACGTTAAAGTAAGCTAGGATGTGTCTGTAATTAACTTCTGCACCGCCTGGACAATGAAGTCGTGTAGCTGCATGACATGTAAGTTGACCATTAATGAATGACATCGTTTGTGGTTCATTCTTTTATTTGGGGGAAAGTTTCTACGCTTCTATTGCTGTTATCCAGTTCGAATGAAGTCTGCTGACAAAACATGAAGTCACAAATGATCTCCTTTTGTTCGCAGTATCAGCGGCCGGTGTGAAATCAATGCTGCTTTTTTTTTGTTCTTTTACCATCAATTGTTGCAAATTAATTGCTCACAGGGCTGCAAGTAACTGCTTTTTTCCACCAATTTTATTTATTAATATGTCAATTAAGTTTTGAAATGATAGTTCAGTGCTTCAATGTCTTAAAGCTGATATCCTCTTTAGTCTGATCAACTATCCAGAAAAATTATTTGTGATTTGTTGAGTAATCAAGTAATTGTTCATTAGCACAACTGTTCTTTAGAGATGTGTGTATAGATTGTTATACGGCTACCTCTGTGACATGTCTGTTGTGTTATATTGTGGTTTCCATTTACACCGAGATACCCTGTTGGGAAATACAGTTATACAAATAAAATGTCTTGATTAAATGCCTGTTTTTGGCTGTTCCGGTGAATGAAGTACCTGATAAACCACTGTTCTTTTTTTTAACCTTTCACAATGGCCTAATACAACCAAGAATACTAAAATAATAGCTACCTCTGTTTAAACAATGTAGCAAAATCCCTACTGATCTTTGAGTTTGTGCCCATTTCAGGTTTTTGGAAGGTGATGTAAATAACTACTGATTCATACCTAAATCTCTTGCTTTTCAGGTGACCCAGTGCATCATGGGAGCCGTGTAAAAGCCTGTTGATACCTACAAGTGGCTGCTGATATGGTGGACCGAATCCTGACCGTTAGGAACCCCCCAGTCTCAGTTTTTTATGAGAGTCTGGGGAACACGTTGCCACATACTATGGATTTAGGAAGTCATCTCCCATGAGATTCTAACTTTACAGCGATTTAATCAAGCAGCTGTGAAGTAACATGGAGAAAGACGCAGCCGAGAAGGAGAAGGATGTTGCAGACACTGACGAGGAGATGCCTGATTGTGTTTCTGCCTCAGTGACCAATTCTGGTCAGTGGGAGGCCGGAGAGACTGATGATGACTGCGAGCAGGAGGACGAAACAGCCTATCTTAAATCTCAGGAAACCCCAAACCCAGCCACTGCGCAAGACTCTGAAATGGGCGAAGCAGAGTATTGTGGATCCATGGAGGCCAAAGAGGACACAGAGGAGGTTTCAGATGGGTTTGACAATGACAACATGGCAGATCATGAGGACTCGCAGGTTATAAATCAAGAAGAAGATGAAGCTGCAAAGGAGCAGCAGATGAATGGGGAGTCTGGCTGGAGGAACGTGGGCAGTGGACGGCGGTGCAAACTGAAGAGCGGTGGATCGGTTTTAGAGCAGGGCAGTCAGAGTGCTTTTTCCTCCATTCAAAAAGGCAACGTTATGTCAAGTGGTGGTCGGCACAAGCAGACCCGCAGACGCAATCACCACCACCATCAGCAGAACCGCAGCCGCAGGCGGACAGGCAACCAGCTTGTCTTAGCTTTCAAGGAGATGCTTTCAGAATCTGTGAGCTTCTGGTGCATCTCATGCATCCATATGATGATTGAAATTATTGTCACATTAACTCACAATTGTGGAGTTGGAGTTGAGACTGGAGTTGTGAAACTTTACAACTTTGGCCAGAAGCTCTTTGTAAAGATCACTGATGTACCTGGAATGAAGGCAGATGCTAGTCGAATTCTGAAATGCACGAAATGCACAGGAGCGGACCTGCTGGATAAAATTGTTAGATCAGTGAAGTGGGTGAAGACAGCTGCCTTATCTTGTTTCAGACTTTTCTGTGCTTTGGCTATTCTGGGTTCCCAATGGGCAAAGGGTGTGTTAGTCCGCATTGTTGGAGAGAGGGGTAAACGCTATTGGACAGCTTTTCTGGAGTCAAGGTTTTGGAGTAGGGTCATGTCCCTGCTGGAAAGAGCCCGAAGCCTCTTCAGGAGGGACGGTCACGTACCACCATCCACACCTGAGTCACCCGGCAGAACAGGGAAATGTCAGCCAGGCCAGGAGCTGGAGAGACTCCTGGCGTTGGCTGAGGTACCAGAGGATGAGCTTGACCCCTTTACAGTGCTCGGTGTAGAAGTGCACGCCACTGAAACTGAGCTGAAGAAGGCCTACAGACAGCTGGCTGTCCAGGTGTGTGTGCGATACATGCACAAAAATAAGAAGTGCTATGTGCTTAAATTTTTCTATTTGATGCCTGCAGTAATGACTAATAAATAATTCAGAGTTTTTCTTTGCTCATGCAACCTTTTTCTCTGTTGGTTCTCTTTCAGGTCCATCCAGACAAGAATAAACACCCACGAGCTGGAGAGGCGTTCAAAGTACTGAGGGCTGCCTGGGATATTGTCAGTAACCCAGAGACACGACGAGAGTATGAGTTGTGAGTACACAGAAAATGCAGTAATCACATTGAGTTATTGCCTGTTATCTTGTATCACCAACTAGTCTGTTCCGTTCCCACGCAGGAAGCGCATGGCAGCAACTGAGCTCTCGAAGTCCATGAACGAGTTTCTCACCAAACTGCAGGATGACCTGAAGGAAGCCATGAATACCATGATGTGTACCAAGTGTGAAGGAAAGCACAAGTATGTCCCTACACAGCCGACATCATCATCGTCACGGAGCTTCATCAGTGTCATTTCCTCAGTCTCAAGTTTAACATGTGGTATTTTACATTCTGTAGCCGAGTTGTGTCTTGCGTAGTCGACTTTTACCACAGTTGTATTTCCTTCGTGACCCGTGTGTGTGCAGGCGATTCGAGATGGATCGTGAACCTGCTGAGGCCCGGTTCTGTGCTGAATGTAACCGGTGCCACAGTGCTGAGGAGGGGGACCTGTGGGCCGAGTCCAGCATGTTGGGCCTTCGCATCACATACTTTGCATGTATGGACGGCAAGGTGTATGATATTACAGGTGAAGATCGGCTTTTATTTAAACATTATCTGTCCCACTCATGATAACAAACCGATAGTTCATCCTGTAGTTTGCATGAGCTCATTCATTATCAGTAAATGTCCCTCTTGATGCTCCCACAGGTTCAAGAAAAGCTTCAGTGTGGTTTTGTTGTACTTTTTGACATCAGTCATGTGACCTGCTGTGATACTGTCATGTTTCAGAGTGGGCAGGTTGCCAAAGAATAGGCATTTCTCCTGACACCCACCGTGTACCATATCACATCTCCTTTGGTTCAAAGAACAACAGCAACGCCACACGACACAGGTACGTCCCTGTAGGCCAAGATCTGGACACAGTATGGACAAAATGGATTCTCAGGGACACCAGAAGTCCTCCTGTTAATATTTTTTCCTCATACTTGGGTTGTTGTTGTGGCTCCATAGGTTCATAAACATTTGCTATTTCATTCTGCTATTCCATATTTAGGCCATATTTAACCTCAGATGTTATTCTTAGTGTTTTTACCTTTCTGGTATTTCTGCCATACTAGCAAACTCCAGTGACAGACTTCAGAGTTTTTCTTTTAGATATTTGGTGCTATGAAAATGTAAACTTTTATGTCATATTGCAGCATTTGAATATGTAAATTAGCACATATCCTAATGAGAAAACCCCCCACAATTTTCCTACATTTTACTTACAAATAAATTAAAGTTTGTAAATACCTAAACTTGTTTTTGATCACATCTGCCATCATTTGCCATCTGCATTACATAAATATGTTTTTACTAGCATCTTGTTTTATATGGTATAGGAGGAGCTCCCCCTTACGCTGTGTCTTTTAGGGATATTGATGTTGTCAAAAAGAACTATTTCTATTTTTTTAAGGTATACTGTACACAATTTTGTATAATTGTGAAAATAGACAACAGTTTCATGCCTAATTGGCTCTAATCTGTTGCACTCGCATTCCTTTGCTACATGACCATCTATGAAAGCCTAATTTCACATTCCAGGACAAATGACCGCTGAACTTTTCAACTTTCATTTCAGGACGCCCTCAGAGCAGGCCACAGGTCCAACCAACCCTGCCGATTTGCAGGATTTCTTCAATCGAATTTTCAAGGGAGGACCGCCTAACGACATGGCTGCCAATGGAAACTTCTTCCCCTCAGGTCCGCCTCATCACCCACCTGGCGCCGGAGCACCTCCGTTCTCGCCTCCCACGGCTCAAACAGGTTTCTACATGCCGGGGGGTCCCCGGCCAGAGTCCAACGAGACATGGGCTGAAAGTGGCAAACCCCCCAGAAGGAGGAAGAAGGTTCGCAAACCCTTCCAGAGGTGAAGTCTGTTGACTTGTTAGTGTATCAAAATAGCAACACAGGGACACAATGAATAATGGCCATGTTTGTCTCTCGCCTGCCTGTTGGCATGCCAAGATCTGAACTGGAGAATATTCGTGGGGCTAAAAGGCCGCGGTCAGATCAGCCAGAGCAGAGAAAGACCATTTCATGAAGAAGCGCCTGTGGACTGAATACAAGTATTGAAGGAGAGCTGAAGAGGTGGCAGCGATGGTGCTTTACCTCTCATTTCACCTTTTTTTTTTTTTTGGTCTTAAAGACGACTGTAGCCTTGGCATTGAAATCCTTATCGGGATGCTGTAATGACACGTTTTTCTTTTCATAATTTCCTGCCAAATCCTTCATTGCATGATTTAGTCACTTCATTCTAACACTTCAGTTCTCTCACTTTTGTTGTTAATGTTTTATATAAGGTTAGATCAAGACATTGGCTCCAGGCAGAGTGACGGTTGAGGGTTGCAGTCAGTGGGAATGTGATTTACAGATCGCTGAAATCGAGAAGTGAAGATAATGATCTGGGCAGCTTCACGCTGTCAGTGTTACTGTTAGTAGTGGCATGTGAATCTACTTTTACGTCTGCGCCTCGCCCACCATTTTTCTAGAATGAATCCAAACCAGCCAAATCCAACACATCTGATCTAAATTACCAAAAGCATGGCATATTATAATCACTGAAATTAAGAGCGTTTTTTTTTTTTTTACTTTCAGCGGGATAATTTCTCTATATATCTACAATTGTTAAAGATTTAATTTACTATTATGTTGGTAAAGTAGCAGAAAAGTGGCCTTTTTTTCCCCCTTCAAATCACAGGGCATGGTGTGCTTCTTTGGTTGCATGCACACAAACAACAAGAGAAGACAAACAAGTTCTTTGTGTTACGATTACAGAAGAGAAACTTTACTTTATAAACTGATGAATAATGAAAATGTACAATGGGACTTTCTAGTTGTAAAATGGCAATATGTAGATATTACAGAACCACTAAGAAGGAAAACATCTTGTCAGGGTTGTTCAGGAAATGTGGCCCAGTCACTTGCATATTTGTGTTGCCAATACCAGAGAATCACACTGTGCATTAAGACCACTCAATAAAAAAGAAGTTTGTCATTAAGTACACTCTGTTCAGAAAACATTTCAGACAGGCTCGTCCCAATTAGTGAACATTAGCTTTTTTTTTTCATAATCCAGAGAAGAAACTAAAATGTTTATCACATTTTAATGAACTCGTAAAGATATTACTACATCAGAACATACAATTAAATGTGTGTAGTTTTTAAATTAACTGTGGACACAAGCCTGACCAGGATGTAAAGACACAGTGCTGTCTAATTTGTGTTGTTTTCAATCAGCACTGTTACTTTATTTTGATTTTAGGGATACTGTGTACACCAGGAGTGTGTATTTTCCTATGCAATATGACTTAAATGTCAAATGACTCTAAATTGTATCACTATTCTGTAACTGAACTACCTCTAAGTTAAACAGTAGGGTATTTGGTCATTGGTCAAATAAAAAAACTAACTAGTTTAGATCTGCTATATTATAAATACAGGCCTGTCAGAACCTCAGTGCAGCCAAAGGCAATACACCTTTCATTATTAGGATTCATACCTTTTATTTTTCTATTACTTTGTATGTCGGCCTTTATTTTCGATGACAGACTTAAATCCCCTTGATGTGAAGAGCACCAGTGTTGCACAAATTTCTGAAGAGATGTTTTGCCATTCTTCAGAGATATTTTTTCAGTTCTTTGCTGGAGGGGTTGTGTTTGTCTACCTTTCTCTTTGAACACCCCAAAGGTGTTCTGTTGGATTCAAGTCAGGACACATTCTTGGCCAGGCTGTAGTGTCCTGCTTGTCCTTTAGTAACTCTTGTGTCGTTTTGGCAGAGTGTTTTGGATCGTTATCATGCTGGAATAATTAATCATCTTGTCAGCCAGCATTTTAGTAAGTCTACAGGCATTCATGGTGCTATCTATAAATGCCATCTCCCAAACACCTTTTGCACTGATGCAGCACCGTATCATTGAACTCCCACTTCTGTGCGTCACTGTCAGGACTATGCACTTACTGTGGTAGTCCTGACCAGGTTCATGCTAAACAGGCTGGACCACATCTGAACTACACAAATTTATCTCGGTCACATTTGACCAAAGAATGTGCCCCTAGCATTCATCAGGTTTCTTTTCATGCGTTTTAGCAAAATTAAATGGTGCAGTTTTGTGGAGCAAAGGTTTCTCTTGGACTCTATCCATAGAGATTGACGTTATGTAATGTCATTTGCGCTGTCACCGAAACTGCTGTCTTTTATGACCTCTGTGCCAAATCTGAAGCACCTGGCTGTTTTTCAGAGCTAGATTGTGCCAGTAGTGCACTGTCCGTGACGTCATTGTAGGTAGTCAACCACCGCGGCCGTGATTATTGGTATCACAGTTCATTCAATACCTCCTGATTGCTGCTGCTACTGTGTTCTGACTGATTTTTAGTTGTTAACCAATCTCCCCGTATCAGTCCATATAGAGCCATGTTGCATTACACAGCCCATAGGTCCAAAATTGAGAAAATTCTGGGGTTCACAGACCTTTTTATCACCTGTATTTTCAATATAGTCTTTCTGAAGTATTTGTTTTTAATTGTTCATTAGAGGAAATACTGTACTTGTCAACTTAGAAGTAATGCAGTTACTATAAAGTGATACACTTTTACACTTTGGATATTGCACAGGGGTGTACTCATGTCTGTTCTATACTGTACCCCTTGGTTGAATAGGATGATAAATAATATATATATATATATACATATATATATATATGTATGTTGCCGCAGCAACATAGTCAATTTGCATGATTGTTCAGGCAGCTACTGAAAACTGTTCCAGTCGTCTGAATTTTCACAGCATTTTCATCAAGGTTCCTTCTTGTTCAGTGCCATTTTATGCCACTTGTGATGTTTCAGAGCATGTTCAAAGCCATGACTGTGACCTGTGACTGCCACTCAGCTCAGGACAAGTAAGTTTAAAAAAAGAAAAAAAAAATTTGAATTGATTCCAGCCATCCTGGTTATTACATCCAAAAATGATCTTTCTCCTGTCCTGTTGTTCCAGTATGTGTTGTCATCTCTGTGGCTCCTCACAGGTTGCAATTAAAGAAGTTTATGATCCAACCGTTATGCAATCATGTACTATAAACTAGGATGTTTTTTCCGGTTAATCTAGACATGGTTCAGATTTCAAGGTCACTGGTTCACTGAAAATTAAATCAAAGTCTAAACAACTGATTTTCTTTTGATCTACACAGCGCCACTGTACGCAACAACATGAAGGGGTCCGAAGTATGAAAACTGGTTGTGTTTTGTAGTTTGGTTTGTTGACATGGTTTGTGCATAGAAATTACGCTTTAATTTTCATCTTAGCCTAATGAAAGAAAACAAGAGCTGTTATTGTTTACACCTGACATGAAGATTGTGAAAGTAGTGATATGGCAGTTAGGAGTGATAAAGCATTTGAGAAAGGCTGTTTATATATATATTGACAGTTAAACATGATGAGCACCATGGTCATTGTTTTTTTTTTTTCCTTTTGTTAATTTGTACACCCACCACTGTAATAACATCAGAGGGATTTTGAACAGTCATCAGTGATTTAGCCTAACCAGACTCCTCCAGCTGCAGCTGAGTAGGAGGTGTAGCTCGCTAAGCTAACAGCTCACTTGCAAATTAAGATATTATTTTGGTAGAATCTGAATGTTTAATGAGTGACAAATTTTTGAAAAAGATCATTTGATTGCACAACCATTGCACTCTGGAGAAAGTACGGGAACTATGTTATGACATTGTAATGCACAGTGTGGATTTTGTCTAGAAGCTTGGAAGGAGCCCTTTTTAGAAATATTGTTTAAGGTTCTTTAGGCAGGACAATAAGTTTGTCATATTTCTCTTCATGTGTCAAATAGTTTGTCATATGTATTTGACCAGTTTCCCAGACTTGGACTGAGTTAGTAAGAAAAAATGGCCTTTAAAATCCTTTAAAACAAAACAAATTCAGAATGTATATCAAGTCCTGCATTCAGTTTATTCTGGTAAAAACAATTTAATATAAGAAAGGTTTTCTTCTGTGACAGCCAAATCAGAGCTATAAGGACCAAAACAGGTTTTTTTCCCAATTGGGCAGGATTGCATTTAAAATGTTAGTGTGATAATTAGAAATCAACAAAATAACTTGGAATTAATTTATTTTCAGACACTGTTAAAGATCTGCTTCAGTCCCTGTCTAGGAAACTGGACCCACAGCTGTGACCATGTCAAACATAATGCATTATTTTCCACATGTCGTCCTTGACTTTAGAATGTGCAGTGCTGCATGTTAAAGGTAGCAGTTCAAAGTCCAAGAAGTCAATGAAAGAGCCAACACTTCAGAAGTTGTTTTTTTTTGTTGTTTCAAGTTTTTAACAGAATATGCAGAAGTATTGCAAAAAATATCTGACAATCATCAGGGTTTTTTGTAGGGAATTAGGAGGCGAGTTCCCTGGCTGGCAAACAGTTATAAAATGTCACTGTTTGGTTTCTTTCCCCTGCTTTCTCTGGTTTTCAAAATAAAGATGATTTCCTATATGCACAATGTTTGTTCTGTTTTCTACCCATTATACATAAATGACTTCTTCATTACAATGCATATCAAAGTTATAGCATTTTAAACATGTACAGTGTAAACATACACATTAGAGTAAGGTTACACAGGTCCACACTGCAAACATCTCAATGAGCAGCCTGAGAGCCCGCAGAGGTCCCATCCTTCAAACTGGCTTAATATTTCATTTCACTGTAAACCCACAGTAAAAGGACTCTCTGTGTCACTGTTTTACCTCATATGGCTTTTCCACTCTCTGACCTTTAACTAACTATGGCCATGAAAAGAGGGCAGGGCACGTGTATCCCTCTGCTCCTTACAAGGAGTTGTTTCAGAGAGGTGCAGATTCTTGCACACTGCTCTGAGTGTGATTCACTCACTTCACTTATTACAGCCTTTTATAAGGTGGAAAAATTGCAAATTACAATCTAGACTCCTTTAAAACAATCTTGTGGATCAGTCAGAAGCACTCTTGTGCTGCCACGTTACCTCTCGTCTAGCAGTGAAGTGTTCCTCAGCTGTCCAGCAGTGAGCACTCTAGCTCCTATAGACTGTGATAAACTCTCTGTATGCAACATGGAGGGAAACTGTTACAAATCTCAGCAACACATAATAAATGGTTCACAGGTCTGCGATAAATAACATTCACAAATAATGTTTGGTTTGTTTCACCTGCTCGGAGGAGGCTGGATTGTCACATTTAAATTGCAGATAACTGCACCGTCTTATGTGGGAGGTTCATCAATCTGATCAATGCTTTGGGTCGGACGGAGATGCAGCATGTGATCCCAAGATAAGATATGAACCAGGGATCCACTATTCAGGGCAAAGGTTCCCCTGTGGTATATGCCGTCACGTCCCACATCCAAATTGCATAAATTCACTGAATTTTATTAACCAATGACACTATCAGGAACTGGCACTTGTATTTTGCACAGTTTTTTAAATTATGGTTATAATGACAAAGAACTAAAGAGAAACACGATCTTCTTAAAAAATCAAAAAAGGAACAATCTTGTACCTTCCATGTTAGTTTGCTTTTGGAATAAATACTGTAAACCTGGATCTCGATAGCTTAAGATTCACAGCAGTCTTCTTTTGTTTATTGTTCTCAAATAAGTCAGATTAATTCAAGTTTTATGTAGCTCTACATTTTCCCTTGGTCATGCACAGCCTCTGTAACCACTCCAGCTCCAGCTACAGATCAAACAGTATTTGCAAATGTTATTCAGCCCAGACCTAATGTTTACTTTGCAATATGTACACTTGCATATGGTTAAAAATAAGACGATAGCAATTATGATTAAAATATTTCATCTTCTACTTCCACTCTTCTTTCTCAACTAATATAGAAAATATGAAAACGATAATATACGCAACAATAAATGCTTCAGCTTGTGCTGACTAAATCTACTGTTCTTTCACCTACAGCTTGCCTTTCAGACACCCGATGACATTGCAGAGCTGAGAACAGTCTCGATAAGCCACCAGGCCGCCGTGATTCGCCCAGCGGTCTGCTCCTTTGCACTCAGTGTAAGGCTGGTGATAGGTCAGTTCCGTCTTGTGGTCCTGTGGCCCAAGGTTGGACTGCAGAGTCTTACTCAAGTCCACGACTCCCCCTCCGAGGGCTCGGAGCAGAGCGTGAGGAGCACAGGAGTCCCACTTAAAGGTGCTTCCCTCTGAGAGAACGTAAGCGTCGGCCAGGCCCTGAATGACACACAGGATCTTGTAGCCGGCTCCAGAGGCGTAGACCATCTTGTCAGAGCCGCACAGTGAGGTCAGGGCTTCCTTTACCACCTGCTTCTCGCTGGAGCTCAGCACCACAGATGGCCCTCGGCCCCCTGACTCAGGTCCGTCTTTTGGCCTGGACACTGAGCAGACATTGATGCTGCCGCAGGACACGCCCCAGAAATGCTTTCCCCTCCACCTGAGAATCCCCAAAAAATGAGAAAAATTGAGAATAGTTTACTTCAAAGGACAGTCAAAGACATCTTTGCAATGCAGGCTTGGCTTCACTAACATGAAGTTGTGTGAAAGATCAATCCCTGAGCTGCCAGTGTTCTTATCTTCAGTTTTCAAAGCCAGACAAACACGTCTGTCAGCTACCAACCAAAATCTGAGTCAATTTAGAAGTTTTAAAAGTGTAAAACTAAGACCTTGTTTAAATAGTTGTTCTCAAGGTTTGGGAGTTTCATCCAAGAGTCTCACCATCATCTAAACACAGCTTGATTGATCTGACATGTGGGGTATCTGGTCAGCCTCATCATTCAGTAAATGTTCTCCTTGAATCTCAACGCAAAAAATCTTTGAGAGCTCACAGTGTAAGTTCTGGCCACATAAGGCAAAGACAAAGACATCCAGAAGCAAAGAAAAAAATGAAAAAGAAAGGTACATATAGCACAGATTCACTAGACACACTGTTGACATTTCTGTAACACAAATCTGAAGTGAAAACTGTCAGACTAACATAAAGCCAGCAGTAGCTTGAGGTAAAGTATGTAATGTGAAATCATTGTTATTTGCTTAGTAATCAAGAGGCTTCACTGCAGAAAATCTGCCAGAGAAAGTAAATAAATGAATTGCAAAGATCCTTCTTAAAGAAATCTGGGAAATTTATGTGCTTTTTAATGCAAGCCCATATCACATCTAGAGACGTGAAGTCTGACCAAGTGTCAATAAATCAAGATATGAGTCTGTTAAAAAAAACACAAGTGCCCAGAGGTGCTGAATGTTTAAGACAAGAGATAGAAGAAGAAATGTTTCTGTGGTGGTGATTAGTAATCCCATTTTGCCTGGTTGGTTTTCTGTTGGAGAACTCACCCTCCTCCTGCTGGATCTTTGTGGTTAAACGGCTGGTTGATGACGCCCATGACGGGCTCGCCGGTGCTCCGGAGGTAAACCCCGATCAGAACCAACGCACAGTGCAGACCTGAAGGAGACAGGCGGCCTTCCTCCAGCACCTCCTCTCGGCCCTCTATGTACTGGCTGGTGGCATCTTAATAAACAAACAGGACAATAGAGACAAACTGAGCTCTGATGCCGACATTCAGCTTTGCTCACCCGCATGGTGTTTGAATGAGATTCTACACAAACAGCAAGCCGTTCACCTATGGGGTCGATCCAGATGCCGAGCTCAGAGGGGCTGAGCGGAACTGTCAGGCCGTCGGTGCTGGTGTCGATGGTCGCCGGGTCTTGGTGAATGGCTCGCGCCAGCAGAGATGCCGCTGTGTGGTCGCCGTCAAGCACCGTGGACAGCAACGCGGCTGTTTCCTCCTCTGTACGGCAAACTGTGACCGTCACACTTTCTCCTGGTGACACAGAGCCAGTTAGGCTTTGATAACTGTACAACAAACTACTTTAAATATTTACAGAGTGCAAGGTGCAGCAAGGGGTAAATATTTGGACAGTGACACATTAATGCACTGGCTTTATGTTCCAATAGATTCAAGTACAGATTACTAAGCCAAGTGTATTTTTAGCTCTGATAGTATTTAGTCTATTTATATAAAGGTGAAATGATTATTATTGGCAACCAGATTCCGTGGAATAAATTCTGAGACACGTATAAATGACAGGTGAAGTAAATGCAGCAAAATAGGTGGATAATGAGTTAAACTGATCTCAGCTTTGAGGTGATGCGAAGGATACAGCTGACTGACAAACGATGCCCTCATTAAGTTCCCCAAACATTAACCACAAGGATTCAACGTCCATGAATCTGGTTCCCACCACTTCAACAAAATCACTTGGCTGCACCATTTATCAAATATTTTACAAAGTTAAAGTTATGTGTGAACTAAAAGAAATGAAACGTGGGTGAATTGTCACTGTTGAAGCGTAGGCCAGCCACTTTCACTCGAAAATGTTTGTGGGGGGGAAGAGCCTGGACTATTCACTTGTGAGCGACAGGCAACAAGCAAATCGTTTTATATGTGGGTGGGGCTTTAATTTTGCATAGTCATATTTTTTAAACCACGAAAGGCATCTATTTTCCTACAGCTCACAACTATCACCACATTCTGAGCAGTCAGCTGCACTAACACAGACACAAATGCATAATTGGCAAATGTGAAATCGAGGTTTGACCTCAGGATAAATCGTCTTTCTTATTACCACCATCAAGGTCCAGTAAAGCTGCACAGGGACGAGCTTCTAGCCGTGAATGTGTCTGACTGTGCAGTGATGGCCAATGTGGTCCTCAGAAAGAAGTTGCTTTCTCTTAAGCCCCTTTCAGACATTCACTCCCGTCTGTCCTTCCTGCTCACTTTTCAGTAGAAGTCATGATGGCAATCTGTGACATTTCCATCACTTTCAACACGGCCCAACTCTCTCACATGAACAGGCATACACACACAAGAAAAGGTACTTCAAGTTTTGTGCAGTGATTTGAGGAAGACTTTTCCACATTTCAGCACCGATATTACTCCAAAAACATCACAGAGCGTAAAAAACACAGCTTGCTGCCAAAATCACAAAACACCTCTCTCAATCACTTTGCTATCCAACTTTCATCTGTTACAAACTAAAATGCCCATAAAAGTAAAACTTTCCTGTGATGAAAAAAAGAGACTAACAGCTCAGATTAAAAAGACTCATAAATACTGGATGTAACACGTGTTTCTTCTTTTTGACATAACATCAGGTGTGTGAGGAGTTGAAATTTAGTTTGTTGCCTTTAGTTTAATAAGCATCAGACAGGTGCAGGATCAGTTTAAGTGTCTCCAAAAAGAAAGAGAGCTTTGTGTATTTACACACGCCTCTAACTTCATTAATTATTTGTAATTATAAAATATCTCTGACATGGAGAGTGAGTCCACCAGAAACGTATACAATAAAGACTTGATACAGATAAGGATATAAATATATCAGTGCCTCTCACTTAAGAAATTAACAGTCTGTGTAATTTATCAGATACATGACTGCATCCAGAACAACAACATAGCTTTAAAGTCCAAAACAGACTGTTGCAATCAGAGATGGATGTTACTGTGCACTTTTCTCCACCTCAGACAGGTGAGCTGTCACACAGAGTCAGTTTATATTCAGTTAAATCATTTTTTACATCGTGGCAAGTCCTGAGCTCTCTCACAGCTGTCAGGATATTTTTATTTTACTGCTGTTAAAGTCGTAGCTAGAGTATCATCCCACATGGACAGAGTTTTTACTGTTCAGGACATCATAAATAAACTGGGCTATCAGGTATTTGGCCTGTTTGATAAGCTGCAATAAGTGTAGATGTAGTCTTTTGTGGTCTATTAGTGCATTATTATACATGCTGCACAATCTTGTGTAAATGCAAAGTGTAGCTGTGGCTCTCTTCATTGCTGTGGATGTTCCGCAGAGGTAGTGAACCAGCTGACTCAACATGTAGTGTGTTAAGTGTAATGTTGCGTAATTACCGAGCCCGTTTTCAAACTTGTTAGACTCTTCTCCGTGAATGAAGGCCGCCATCTCTGGGAACTGCACAAACAAAACACCACATGATGGTTAAAATTCAACACACGGTCTAACTCTAGCTGATCCTGACAGTCCAGTCTTCCCCTCTACCTGAGAGCCAACATCGTGCCGGATCATCTCCTGAATCACCACATCGGCGAGAGTCTTGAAGTCCTGGACAAACTTCTTGTTCTTGTCGTCTCCGGTCTTCTCCTGCACGAGGAGCTGAAAGAGGGGAGCCTCCTGCCTGCAGACTCGGGCCACGTTAGCAGCTTTCTCAGCCACCCGGAGCAGCAGCCTCAGCAGATCAGCCATGCCTGAACAAAAAAGCACAGAGGTTAGCCAATGCAGAGATGGAAACTGTGTGCATGACAGAGAGAGAGAGAGAGAGAGAGAGAGAGAGAGAGAAAGAAAAGAAGATGAGGGAGGTCACACATGCTGAGCTAATTATAGGCTCCAAATGAAAACAGGGCATTTCTGAAAAAAGAAGTGTGAGAGGGAGGGATGTGGCTTCAGATCTTTGCATGTGAGCTGCATCGAGCACAGTAGGCTCCACTTTAGTGAAGCTGATTCTACATGAACACTGAGAGAGTGTGCAACAAAACTGTATCTGATGTTATAACCACAAAGTAGTGGGAGAAAGAAAACAAAAAACACCAAAGAGCACAATAAGGTGTGTTCATTGTGCCTACTTACTGCCTCCTACACACTTTGGAGTGCTATTAGTAATGTTAGAACAACCTTACAGCCTCTATGTGGTCACTTAGGATGGAAAGACAGGCCTTTGGGAAACCTAAATAATACATATTTATTTATTTGTTGTTTTTAAAAAAAACATGTTTTGACCTGTAACTCCACACTTACACTCTGCTACCGGGTTGTTGAGCTTTAGCTTAGCATGTCTGAGGTCACATAATGTAGCAAAGGAATGTACATGTGCGATAAGGAAAAGAAGCAGGGTGAAATGAGTAAACCTTACCAAACCAGCTACACTGCCCTTATTTTCCTCTCGTCAGAGCCTCTCGGTGGCTGAGTTTCCCCGTCGGAGCTGCCGACAACCAAACGCAGATAACCGAGTGTGACAGGAGCCAGAGAAGACGCGGACTTCCAGTAAAAATGTTGCTATTAAAGCTCTTAATTAACGCTGGGATCTGCCTGCTCTGGTTTCTTTACGTCAGTTTCCTACCGAAGGAAGGGCGGCCGCTCCTCTCACATCTAGGCCGACAAATACAAGGTTCAGACAGGCGCGCAACCGCACACTGCACGGTGCGAAGGATCGTCAAGGTGTCGACAACAAGGCTACGAGCGCTACGTTCAGGTGCAATTTTTCCGGTCCGGGAAATTGTAAAAGGTCACGCCCATGAATTGTGAGTGCGACCAGCGAACATATGATAGTATTACTGTTCCATTCACAAGCACTGAGGCAGTGTTTCGCAACCAGGAAGTCAGGAAAAGTGCAACACACTCACTGTGTACTGTTGCACCCAGGAAACCAGGAAAGGTTAAAAAACATGTTTTACTCATTTAAATATAATAAAATCAAGGGAAAATGTCTCTCCTCAATAAACAGAGATAAGAGAAAGAAAACGAGTCAGTTGGTTGCTTCCTTACTGTCATTTGCAGGGCGGCAACTACCTTTGTCCACATTGCAAAAACATTACTTTTACTATCACAGAGGAGCAAAGTAAGCAGAAAATTTTGCTTTTTAAATTTTTATTTATTTATTTTAACCCTATTCAGGCCTTTCGGGGACTTTTGGACCCCAGGCCATTTGGTTTAGGTGACAGGTTTTTTTTGTTTGTTTTTTTTTGAAGATTTTTTTTTAAAATATAAAAAGAGGGACATTTGTCATGCATATGGAAACAAAAATATGTCAACTTATCAGAAAATGTGTTTAACATAGTGTAAAAGCCTATATTGAATATATTATATATATTTTGCACATATTCTTTCTTGGGGTCAAATGGACCCCAAAAGACCTTCTACGTATGGCAACATGAAAGTCCTGAATAGGGTTAAAACAGACTTTTTGTGTATAAACACCAGTTTCAAAGACCTAATCTGCTGCACTGTAGATAAGTTAAGAACAGTACTTTCATTTAAAGACAGATTAACAGAGCAATGTAGAAGTT